TTCCCCCCCCCCCCCTCCAACTCTCCAGTCTCATCTCCTCCTCCTCCCCCTCCTCCCACCCTCCGTCCCCCCTCTCCCGACCCACCCGCATTCTCCCCACACTCGGCTCGGTCGACGAGTTCCCTCATGCCTCGCACCCGTCCTGACCTCTCGTCGCTCCACCGCCGACAGACCAACCGGGCCAGCAGGACGGCCAGAGCAACCTCCAGTTCGAGGAGAACCTCAACGACATCCCGCAGGCTCTCTACGACGGCGTGCGTTCCACCTCTCTCTCTGTGTCCGAGTGAGCCCCGACTGACCTCGCTCCTCGCTCACCACAGGCCAACGGCCCTGCCGCCCCCGGAGCAGGCGGTCCTCAACCCGCCATCGCCGCCTTCCCCTCGGTCCTCAACGGCGCTCCTCCGACCCCGCAGTTCGCCCCTGCGCCCGGCATCCCGGTCAACATGGCGCCGCAGATGATGCCCGCGCTCGCGCAGCCCCTCAACCCGGACGGCACCCAGCCGCCGCCCAAGCGGCCGCGCGGCCGGCCCCGCAAGGTGCCCGGCACCGAGAACCGCACGCCTGGCGGCGCCGGTGCGGCGGCGGGAGGTGGTGCGGCGGGCGCGAGCGGCGCAGATGGGAGCGGGCGCGGCAAGGCCAAGGCGCGTGGGAGGGGAAGGGGCAGGGGCCGTGGGCGTGGGCGCGGCGGCAAGCGTGCGAGGGTCAGCAGCGACGAGGAGGACTATGGGCCCGACTTGAGCTCGGCCAACAACTCGGAGGCCGAGGGCGACGACGACGGCGACGACAAGAGCGTCGACTTGAACCACGAGGTCGACGACGACGTGCGTCCGAGCGCTTCTCTCTTTCTCTCGTCGCGACATGTCTCTCGAACGCGTACTGACGAGTGGAAGAGTTCGTCCGCCCCGCACAGTTCGGCAGCAAGCCCAAGCCGACGACCAAGTTCGGCCGCAAGATCTCCAAGCCCAAGTCGTTCGTGCCGACCAACAAGCCGACGAGCACGTCCCTCGGCCTCTCCTCTACTCCCACTCGACCTACTGACACTCGTCGCCTGCTCTCGCAGTCGTGCGCAAGAAGCGCGCTCGCCCCATCATCAACCTCGACGCGAACCTCGTGCGCCTCGACTAGCCTCCTCGTCGTTCCCCGAGCAGCATCCTGACCTTCCTTCCGCTCACACAGATGTGCGAGGTCTGCCACCAGGGTCACTCGCCGCCCGAGAACCGCGTGCGTCCTCTTTTCCTCTTCTTCCCAGCCGCGCCCGTCCCTGACTCGTCTCCCTCGTCTTTCCTCCTCTCCCTACCGACCCTCGTCGCGCCCGCATCCTCCCCGGCCAACAGCTCGTCATCTGCGAGGCGTGCAACAAGGGCTACCACCAGCTGTGCGCCGTCCCGGCCATCGAGGCGTCCGTCGTCGACTCGACCCTGCCCTGGTTCTGCTCCGACTGCGACGCCAAGATCGCGGCGACCAAGGCGGCGCTCGACGTCGGCCAGGGCGGCGAGGACGAGTGGACGACGGGCGCCGGCGAGGACAAGGGCGAGGGCAAGGAGGGCGAGAGGGACGACGAGTACGCGGACGAGGTCAAGCGCGAGTGGCTCGAGGGCTTGCCGCTGCGCACGCTCGTTGGGTACATCCTCAGCATCGAGAAGAGTGCGTCGAGCGTTCTCTCCCTTCCAGCGTGTGTGCCCCGTCGCCGCGTGACTGACCGTATCTCCTTCCTCGCCTCCCTTTCCCCTCCCTGCCTCTCTTCTCCTCCCTCCCTCTCGCCTCGCCTCTTCGCCCGCGTCCCTCACCGCAGCCTTTGCTCCTCAAGTCTTGTCCGCCTCGTCCACCTCGTCCCTCCCCATCTGGCCCCGCAACCTGCCCGCCACCCTCGAGGAGACCAAGCAGGCCCGCCTGCGCGAGGAAGCCGAGCGCCAAGCGGCCCTCGACCGCCAGGCCGAGGAGCTCGCCGCCGCCATGGCGGCCGCGAGCGGCGCCGCGACGCCGAGTGTCGCCGGTACGGGCGACGAGGGCGCCGCGAGCCGCGCCGCGAGCGAGGTCGCCGCCGGGCAGCACTTGCCGTTCGGCGTGACGCTGCCTGGGGACGCGCCGGCGCGCACGGCTGCGAGTCGCAGGAAGGAGGTGGGCGACGGCGTCGGGGCCAACGGCGCGCTCGACGCGGCGGCGACGGGCGCGGGCGTGGGCGCGTCGTCGTCGTCGTCGTCGGCGTCGGGCGTCCCGGGTCGGCCGCAGCAGCAGCAGCAGCAGCAGCAGCCGCCGCCGTTCGCGACGTCGTCGTCAACCGCCCAGCAGCAGCAGCAGCAGCAGCAGCGCAACGCGCAGCCGGCCTTCCTCCGCCAGCCGTTCCACACCGTGCCCGCCCTCGGCGACGGTTCGGCCTCGCCGCAGAGCTACGGCTCGGGCAGCGGCGCCGGCGACATCCCTGTCGGCGGCTCGTCCTCGGCGCCGGCGTCGTCCCAGCAGCAGTCGCAGCAGCAGCAGCAGGCGCAGCAGCAGCAGGCCCAGGCGCAGGCCCAGGCGCAGCAGGCGCGCTACGCGGCGTACAACCCGCAGGCGCAGCTCGGCGCGCTCGGCGGCCTCGGTGGGCTCGGTGGCGTCGGGGCCGGCGCGGGCTACGGCGCGTACGCGGCGTACGGCGCACCGCAGGGGAGCCCGTACGGGCTCTACGGCGCGGGTGCGCAGGGCGGCGCTGGAGGAGCCGGCGGCGCGCAGTGAGCGGGCGTGCGTGTGCCGCCGCTCGGTCGGTCGACGACGGCGAGGCGGCGAAAAGGCGGCGGGGCTCGCTGCGCTCGAAGAGGAGGGGGAGGAGGACGCGAGGCGATGGAGGATGGTCTCGACGCTTGTTCCCCTTCTCCTCCTTCTCCCTTTTCTTTCTTCTTGGTCTCCCCTCTCTCTCTCTTCCCTTGTCTTCGCTCTGTTCGCTTTGTAGTCCCCTTCCCCTTCTCGCTTGGTAGGAACCTCCCGAGTCGTCCACGGACGGCGTCGGACGCGCTTGAAACTGACCCTGCACGACTAGCACCGTCTCGGTCTGTGTGCCTCGCTCGGTCGTCTGGGGGAGTGAACTGAGAGCTATCGACGCGACCACGACAGACTGCGTACGAGGCGACGCGCGCTCGAGAGGTTGGCTCGTCGTCGAGAGAGGCGACTCGAGGTCGAGGTTGCTCTCGCACCTCGCACGCTCGACGCCGCCCGTGCGCGTCTCGAGTGCAGCAGCGCAAGCACCACAGCCACACCTGCACGCGCGCCGCAACCGCCTCGCGCGCCCGTCGCTCGGACGAGCCATCTCGGACTCGAGGCCAACTCGTCGCTCCTGTCGGTCGTCACTCGCCTGAGCGCATGAGCTGGACAGCTCAGCCCCACGAGAACAGTGTACAGGTGCGCTTACAGCCCTCGTCCTGCCTCTCGAGCGAGCGCCTGACTGACCCCTCTCCTCCTCGGTCCTCCCCTCCCTCTCCGCACCCGTCTCCTCGCCCGACGTCGCCCTGACGGCCACACGATGCGCACCGACAGCAGAAGAACTACGACACCGTCGACCTCACCGACGACCGCGACGACTCGGTCGGCCCCTCGTCGGCACCGCACCGCCTCCCCGCCGACGCGCCAACAACCTATCCTCGCCACGCCGACTCGTCCTCGACCCGCTACGCACCTCCCGTCAACGGTCACCCGACCTTCCCGACGTCCACGTCCCGTGCGGCCCCGCCTCCGCCGCCGCTGCAGCGCAACTCGCCGGCCAGCATCTCGCAGCGGTACGCCGCTCCGGCCGCAGGCCACTCGTTCGCCGCCAGCCGCCAGCCCCTCCTCGATCAGAGCAAGGTCGCACCTCGCGGTCACCGCTATCCGGACGCCTCGCGCCTTCAGCAGCAGCAGCCGCCGCCGTTCGTCCCGTCGCACGACCAGAGCAGCTTCAACGCCAGCGTCGGCTCGAGCCTGCGTCTGCCCAGCAGCACCAAGTTCAGCTTCGGTCCACCTCACGTCAACTCGTTCCAGTCGAGGACCCACGCCCCGGCCATCGCCCAACCCGCACCTCCTGTCGACAGGCAGCACCGCGCGCCCTCTCATCCTCCCCCTCGCGCCTCGTACCCTCCCGCCGGGCAGTTTGCCGCGCACGACCCGTCGACGCACCACCGCCAGCCTCATCACCCGAACCCGCTCCGCCGGCAGGAGCAGCCGCGACCGCCACTGCCGCCGCAGCCGATCGTCCGCCGCGACCTGAGCGACGACGAGTGCGCCAAGTCGCCTCCTCGCAAGGCCGTCCTCCCTCCCGGCTTTGCTCCACCGACCTCGTCCCGACCCGGCTTCATCAACAGCTTCGTCCCCACGGCGCTCGCGCCAGCCGTCGACCAACGCCAGGCCGACTCGCACGTCCTCGTCGCCGCCGAGAACTCGCTCGACCTCGTCTCGCCCTCGCCTTCTCCTCCTCACCCTCACCAACACTTCGGCGCCGACCCCGCCATGTCGCGCAACGCCAAGGGCACGCCCATCACGCCGAGGGACCCGTCGGCGGGCAAGCCGGCCGTCGCCGTCGGCGGGTGGAGCACTGGGTTCGACGACGACGATGACGAGGGCGGCGCAGTGGGGCGAGGGCTGTCGAGGCAGGACAAGGGCAAGGGGCGCGCGGCGCCGTCGAGTCGCATGGCGCCGGCGTACCATGCCAGGGGCAAAGGGGGGGAGCGCGACAAGTTCCAGAACATGAACTTCAACAAGACCGCCCGTGCGTCCCACACACTCTCTCCCTCTCGTGCCCTCTCTCTCTCTCTCTCTCGCCGAGACTGACCCCTCGCCCGCCTCGTCGCAGCATCGGCCGTCTTGTCGAGCAACTTCCACAACTCGCCGCACGCCTCGACCTCGAGCTCGCGCGCCGGCCACACCGTCGCCGCCGCCGCCAGCTCGTCCAGCGCCAGGGCGCCCCGCGTCATCCACCAGGACGACCCGCAGACGGCGCTCGAGATGCGCGGCGCCGCCGAGAAGCGCAAGGTCGAGAAGGAGCTCGAGCTCAAGAACAAGAAGAAGAAGCCGGCGGCGTCGCGCGCGACGGCCAACGGCACGGCGGCGAGTCGCGGCCGCAAGAAGAAGGAGGTCGCGGTCGTCGAGCTGAGCTCGAGCGACGACGAGGACGACGACGGCGACGACGACCCGATCCGCACCTCGGACGACGACCGCGCCGGCTCGTCGCACGCGCCGTCGCACTCGCGCGCCTCGACCTCGAGCCGGCCGACGCTCAACGTCAAGGGCGCGGCGGCGGCGGCGGCGCAGGCGCAGGCGCAGCAGCAGAAGGAGCAGCAGCGCGGCAGCGACAGCTTTTCGGAGGACGAGCTCGCCATGGACGTGGCGCCGCGCCGCGCGCCGCATGGCCCGAACGTGGCGGCGAAGGTCGCCGTGTATCACCAGAAGAGTGACAAGGCCAAGCCGTCGGTGGCGGGGAGCCTCAAGCCCAAGGTGCGCTCTCTCTCTCTCTCTCTCCCCCGTCGGCGCTTGACGAGCAAGGACCCTGACTCGTCCCTCCCTCCTCGGCCCTCGTCGCAGACCAAGCCGCGAGTCGACGGCGGGCCGACCGACGGCGGCGAGCTCGACATGTTCGCAGCGTCGGGCAAGAAGGCGCCTCGCGCCGCCCAGGCGTCGAACGACAAGGGCAAGACCAAGGCCGAGATCGACAATGCGCTGTTCGACCAGGTCAAGGCCGTCAAGCTCAAGGCGTTCTTCGTCGGCCGCAAGGCGGTTCCTCCCGACTACGCGCACACCGACTACACGCTCCTGTACAACACGCGCGGCAAGCCCAAGGTCACGTTGCGCCGCAAAGCGCCCGACGCCGAGCCCGAGGACGTGTGCGATTGGAGCCAGAAGGAGATCGAGCGCGTGTCGTACCACGACGGGTCGGAGGAGCACACGATGCCGTTTGTCGAGTTCTATTTCAAGAAGGACAAGGCCGGCAACGCCGTCCTCAACCAGCTCGCGGCAGCGTGTGAGCTCGACGGTGCGTCCCCTCTCCCTCTGCCTGGGCGCCCTCGGCGAGTCCCCTGACACCCTGCCCCCCACGCTCGCAGACGTCTCGCGTGTCGAGCCCGGCGAGCGCACGATCGTCGTTCCTGTCGACCGCAAGGACCTGCCCGTCAAGTGGGAGAGCAACCCGACGACGCCGACCGCGCAGGTGCTCGTCCTTTGCCTCAAGGACTGGAGGTGCACCAAGGCCTCGTGCGTCCCGGCTTCCCCTTTCTCTCGGGCAATGAGCTGACTCTCTCTCACCCCGCAGAACCGGCAATGCCAAGGGCGCCAAGGGCACGTACGACAAGGCGTTGGAGGAGGCGGACGTGACCGCTCGCGACATTGCCAGGCGCACGAGCGGGCACAAGGGCAAGGGCAAGCAGAGCCAGCCGAAGCTCTCGTGCGTCCCACTCTCTCTTTTCGCGCCTTTCCTGAAGGACGGCAGCCCTGACGCGCCGGCGCCCTGCTCGTTCGCAGTTTCCCGAACGCGCCCGTCGCCGCCAAGGCGCCTCGCCTGCACACGGACGCCGCCGGCGACTACGTCGAGAGCGAGCCTCCTCGTGGCAGCGAGGGTGGACCTCCTCGTCGCAGCAGCCGTCCTTCGACCTCGGCGTTTGCCGGCGACGCCCAAGTCGCAGCGGCTCGCGAGGCGCTCGCCAAGCCGCGCTCGGTCTCTCCTTACGGCGCAGAAGAGATGTGCGTCCTCGCCCTTCTCTCCTCTCCCCTCCTCTCTCTCTCGCCACTCCTGACCTTCTCGAGCTGCGCGCAGCGTCCTCGAGTACCCGATGGGCGAGCCCGGCGCCGTCTCGGTCACGTGGGGCGACACCAAGCGCCTGCGCGACGAGGAGTTCCTCAACGACACGCTCATCGAGTTCGGCCTCAAGTGCGTCCCTCTCTCTCTTCTTTTTGCGACGTGCGTGACGCTCAGGGACAAGGGACTGACCCGCCCCTCTGGCCCTCCCTCGCGCAGGCGCATCATGAAGAACATCGAGGAGCGCGACCGCGGCGTGCCCGACGCCGCCAAGCTCGCGCCGCAGATCCACGTGTTCAACTCGTTCTTCTACAAGCAGCTGTCGAGCAAGAAGGACCTCAAGCGCGGCATGGACCCGTACCTGCTCGTCGAGAAGTGGACCAAGCGCGTCGACCTGTTCAGCAAACGCTACATCGTCGTCCCGATCAACGAGTAGTGCGTCCTCCTTTTTCCGTGTCCTCTGCCTGCCTCGCGCACCCGGTCCCTGACATCGTCGTCCTGTGTGCGCAGCCTGCACTGGTACCTCGCCATCATCGTCAACCCGGCGGCGATCCTCAAGCCTCCTCCTCCCGCTGCCGCACCTCGCAAGTCGGGCCGCAAGCGCGTCGGCACGGTCGACAGCGAGTGCGCCGTCGACAGCCCCGGCGGCAGCCCCGAGGTCGCGAGCAAGCACTTTGGCGGCGCCGGTCGCAGCCTGCGCGAGCCGGACCTCGAGCAGGACCCTGTCGCCGACGAGGAGGACGAGGAGGAGCAGGCCGCACGGGACAAGGTCGCTCGCGACTTTGCGGCCCTCGAGCAGCGCAAGGCGCGCGACCACGACCGCGAGGTGCAGGCCGCCGTCGCGAGCGTCGCCGCCCAAAGCGCGGCCGACCACGACCACGAGATGGACGTCGACGATGGCGGTCATGTCGCTTCGACGTCGGCTGTCGCCGGCTCGTCGCAGTACGGCACCGCCGTGTCGCCCGCCGGCGTCATCGACGACGAGGACATGCTCCTCGAGTCGTCGCAGAGCCCGCCGCCGCCGCCCGGACAGGGCAACGTCCACATGCGCGCCGACGACGACATGAGCGAGGTCGACGTCGACGTCGTGCGCGCTCGTCCCGAGGTCGAAGGCGGTGGGCCGGGAAGGTCGACAAGCACGTCGTCCTCAGCCCGTCGAGGAGCCAGGGCCAGCACAAGCGCTTCGCCGACAACGACGACGACGACGACGACATTGTCGTCCAGGAGCAGCCGCACGAGCGCGTTGCCGCCGCACCCGCACCCGCCTCGGACGAGTCGGACGCCTCGCTCGAGTCGCCGGACAAGCTCGGCCAGGGCAAGAAGCGGCTGCGGCGCGGGCCCAAAAAGGACGTCGTCGACGCCGAGCCTGCTCCTCCTCCCGAGGTCGTCAAGCCGCTCGACCGCATCACGCTCGACGACGACGAGGACGAGAGCCCGTCCGGCCCGGGCGACCCTGCGCCGACCTCGGCGCCGATGCAAAAGGCGACGTCGGCGTCCTCGGCCGTCGCGTCCACCTCGGGCTCGAGCACGTCGGCGCGCACGCCAGCGACCCCGGCGGCCGACACCGAGCCGACGTCTCGCTCGGCGCCGGCGTTGACGACGTACGGCTCGGCGGCATCCTCGTCACGGACCCGCCAGTCGGTCGTCGCGGCGCCGATGGCGTTCACGCCGCAGGACCCGGAGCCCGGGCGGCAGGAGCAGCTCGCGAGGGAGCGCGAGGAGGAGGAGGAGGCGAGGCGTCGAGCGAAAGCTGCCGAGGAGGCCGAGCTGGGCGAGAAGGTCAAGGCGAGCGCCGACAAGTGCGTCCTCCTTCCTCTGCCCTCTCGTTCGTCAGATTTGACGCGTACTGACACGCCCTTGCTCGTGCGCAGGTGCTGGATCCTCACGTTTGACTCGCTCGGCGCGCCGCACAAGCAGGTGGCGAACCGCGTCCGCGACTACCTCGTTCGCGAGGCGGCGTCCAAGCGGGGCCTGACCGAGACGTCGCCAGACGAGGTCAAAGTCCTCAAGGTCGATGTGCGTCGTCACCGTTCCCCTCGCACCATCTGCCGTCATTGCCGCCAGAAACTGACTCGCTCGCCCTCGCCTCCTCTCCTCGCAGGTGCCGCAACAGCCCAACTCGTGCGACTGCGGCCTGTACCTGCTCCACTTTGTCGAGACGTTCTTCAAGAACCCGCAGCTGTACCTCGACGCGGCGCTCGCGGCGCACTTGCAGCCGCCGCCGTCCAAGAGCAAGGACAAGGGCAAGAAGGACGTCGGCAAGAAGGAGCTCGAGTCGCAGTCGTTCGACCTGTGGGAGGGCAACGTCGCGCAGCAGAAGCGTGCCGTCATGCGCGCCGAGGTCGAGCAGCTGAGCAAGGCGTGGCAGAAGGACGTCGAGCCGCTGCGCGAGAAGGAGCGGCTCGAGCGCGAGGAGCGCAAGCGGCTCAGGGCCGAGGAGCGCGAGGAGGAGCGCAACCGCAAGGCGGCCGAGCGCGCCGCAGCTCTCGAGGTCGAGGAACAGCAGCACGACACGCACCACCGCACGGCGGCGTCGTCGTCGGCGGCAGCGACGCCCGCTCGCGCCGTCGTCGAGCCACCTCCCGAGGCGGCACCTCCTCCTCCTCCTCCTCCTTCCGCCGCACGATCGCCGACCAATTCTCGCCTGCCTCGTGTCGCACAGCCTCCTCCCGCTCGTGCGCCGCCGCCGCCGCCGCCACAGCCGCCGTCGTCCTCGTCGTCGTCGAAGGCAAAGGCCAAGGGCAAGCCGTCCGCGCCCGACCTCGTCCTGAGCGACAACGAGTCGGCGCCGGCGAGTTCGTCGCACCCGGTCGCCGAGCAGGCCTCGACGATCCCGACGGCGAAGCCGCGAGACGAGCAGGCCTCGCGCGGCTCGTCGTCGGCGCTCGTCCAGACGCAGCAACAGCGGTCGCTCCACCTCGTCCACCAGCCGGTCCCCGACACGGGCCCGTCGTCGTCCTCGTCGTCGAAGCGTCCCCGCGCCTCGAACGACGGCTCGCTCGAGCTGGACCGAACCGCAGCGCCCAAGCCGGCCAACCTTCCGTCGTTCTTGCCGCCGCCGCCGACGCCTCGAGTCGAACCCGCGCGCGTCGACGCCGACGCCGACTCGGTCGAGACGGGCGTCGTCGACTCGCAGTCGCTGCCGCACGATGAGCCGGTCCCGAGCGGCTGCGCCGGCAACGAGGGCGAGCGCCGCCCGAGCAAGAAGGTCAAGGTGCGCCACGCCCCGGCCGACTCGCCGCAGCAGCCGGTCCCGCCGTCCGCCGGTTCGTCCGCCGGCGCCCTCGTCGACTATGCCTCGACGAGCGACCACGAGGACGGCGACGCGCGAGGCACTGTCGCCGACTCGCAAGAAGGGCGCGCGCCGCCGACGCCTCGGGCCATGCCGGCGCGGCGCGCGGCGACGTCGGCCGACTTTCACCCGGCCTCGACGACGCGCAGCAAGACGACGCCGACCGAGACGATGGTGCTCGAGGACGACTGAGCGTGTGCGCCGTGTGCGAGAGCGGGCGAGGAGGAGAAGGAGGAGGGGCAGCGCTTTTTCTCCGAGTTGCGGGTCTTGCCTGTGTGGGTGTGGCGGGATCGTAGTTTTGTAGCTGTCACACGCCCGTGTTTGTCTTTCTCTCTTTGACCTGCGGCGAGTCGCACAAAGGTGGATCGAGGAATCGGATGAAGCCGGTCTCTCGCTCGCCTCCTCCCCCTCCTCCTCCCCTCTCTCGTCCACACCTCCTCGCTCGCCCAGGATGTTTGCTGCTGCCCGCCAGACCTCGTCGCTTGCCAAGCGCGCCTTCTCAACCTCGTCGGTCAACAACACGCGCGTCGCTGTCCTCGGTGCCGCAGGTCCGTCCGACCCCTCCTCCTCCTCTCCTCCCTCGCTCGAGATCTCGCTCTCGACGGGGTGGTGGACCGTCGATGGTCGGTCACTGACTCGCACTACACTCCACAGGCGGTATCGGCCAGCCGCTGTCGCTCCTCCTCAAGCTCAACCCGCTCGTGTCGCACCTGTCGCTGTACGACATCCGCCTCGCGGCCGGTGTCGCCGCCGACGTCGACCACTGCAACACCCCGTCCAAGGTCCGTTCGCCTGCTCTTGTCTCTCTCGACGTTCGGGCAGGGGCTCGCGGGCGCGGTAGCGGCATGCGGGCGAGATCGAGGGATCACCGAGACGAGGGCCCGCGGGCTTCAAGGCGCGCGGCATCTCTACCCCGGGCACCTGCGCCGGGTTGTGCCGCGTGGAGCACGGTGCATGGTGCCTCCAGGGCGTGGGCGGGTGCGCAGAGGCCGCCGCGGCCGTCGGCGATCGTCGAGTGGACCGCTCGGAGGACGTCTTCGGGCCTCTCGTCCAGCGGGTCTCGCTCGCGCAAGGCGACGCCGCGCTCGTCCACGGCCTCATTGGCGACCTGACGACGACCTGTACACGGTCCCGAATCAAGGAACCGCACACTGACGCCGCCCCTCCTCGTCGCAGTGCGTCGGCTACGGCCCGGAGGACGGCGGCCTCGAGAAGTCGCTCGAGAATGCCGAAATCATCCTCATCCCCGCCGGCATGCCTCGCAAGCCCGGCATGACCCGTGACGACCTCTTCAACGTGCGTCCCTGCCGTCACCGTCGTCGTTCCCACTCTCGAGAAATCGCCCGATTGACCCTTGCGCCTCCCTCTCGCCTTTGCAGGCCAACGCGTCGATCGTCCGTGACCTCGCCAAGGCTGCCGCCAAGGTGGCGCCCAAGGCGCGCATCGGTGTCATCGCCAACCCGGTCAACTCGACCGTGCCGATCGTCGCCGAGGTGTTCAAGGCGGCGGGCGTGTACGACCCCAAGCGCCTCTTTGGCGTCACGACGCTCGACATTGTCCGCGCGTCGGCCTTCCTGTCGGGCATCGCCGGCACCAAGCCGGCCGAGACCAACGTGCCCGTCGTCGGCGGCCACTCTGGCCCGACCATTGTCCCGCTCCTGAGCCAGCTCCCGGAGGGCAAGAAGGTCGTCGAGCAGGGCGGCGAGCAGCTCGCGGCGCTCGTCAAGCGCATCCAGTTTGGCGGCGACGAGGTCGTCAAGGCCAAGGACGGCGCTGGATCGGCCACCCTCTCGATGGCGTACGGTGCGCCCTCCTCCTTCTCCCTCTTCCTCTCCCTTCCTCAACTGACTCTCTCTCTCTCTCCCTTTCCCTCTCTGCAGCCGGTGCCGACTGGGCCGACTCGCTCCTGCGCGCCATGAACGGCGAGCAGGTCGAGATCTGCACCTACGTCGAGTCGCCGCTGTACGCCGACAAGGGCGTCTCGTTCTTCTCGTCGCCCGTCCAGATCTCGTCCGAGGGCACGGTCGGCGAGATCAAGCCCGTCGGCCAGCTGCACCCGTCGGAGCAGAAGCTCCTCGACGCGTGCCTCCCGGACCTCAAGAAAAATATCGAGGCCGGTGTCAACTTCATGAAGCAGTAGAGCCGTCCTGGAGCGCTCTCCTGCCTCTCTCTCACTCTCCTACGTAGCCTGTGCACGGTTGGGAAAAAGGCCCTTTGCAGTGCGTCGTCGTCGTCGAGCGAGAGGTCCGAGAGCGGGTCTCTTTCTCGTCCTTCTCTTTCCCTCTTCCTTTCTCTCTCTCTCTCTCTCTGTCTCCCTCTCTCTCGTCGTCGTCGTCGTCCTCTCGTCGGCGTCGACGACGGCGCTCAGTCGGCAGGACGTCGCCGTCCTCTTGCCGGCCGAACGCGGCTCTCTTTTCCTTCGCTCTGTCCCTCTCTCGCTTCCTCTCTTCTCTCCCCCTCTCTCGTCGTCGTTGTCGTCGTCCTCACGTCGACGACAGCGCTCGAACGACAGGACGGTCGTCGCCCCGCTCGTCGCTCGGACCGACCGGAGCGAGCGCCTCGTTCGGCTCGCGCGCTCTCTCCCCTCTCTCTCCTCTCTCCCTCTCTTCTCTGCCTCGCTCTGTCTGCGTCTCTCTCTCGCGCTCTCTCGCTCTCTCCGTCCGTGTCGTCCCATCGTCGACGTCGACAGGGCAGCGCTCGCTCTCGCTCTCGCTCTCGGACCTCTCGACGACGACGGACGAGGACGAGTCGCACTTACGGCAGAGGGTTGCACAGGGAGGGAGAGAAGGGCTACGCAAGGGGCACGACGCTGGCGAGACGAGGGGGCGGGAGAGGGGTGCGAGGGGCGAGGGCGGCATTCAGGCGGGAGGGGCAGGCGCAGGCGCAGGGGCCAGACGCGGGCCTAGCTGGTCGCTCCTGATGCGGTCACGTTGCTCCTGTGGGGCAGGGGACGAGAGGGGGCGTGTCAGGGGGGTGGTTCGCTTGGACGAGGGGCAGGAGAGGGAGGGAGGGAGGGAGGGAGGCGGGGAGAGAGGGGGAGAGAGGTGTGGGGGAGAGGGAGGGAGAGAGGGAGGAAGGAGGGAGAGGAGATGGAAGGGAGGGAAAGGAGGGGAGGGAGGGAAAGAAGGAGGGGGGAAACCCGAGCCGACTCGACTCACCGCCGCGACGACCTTGACGTTGGCCAGCACGCTCTCCTCGACCTGGGCCTTGGCGAGCTCGGCGTACAGTGCGGCGTGCGCGCGGTCGTACAGGGCGATCTGGGCGTCGAGGGACGCGAGGAGGGCCGTGGCGCGGCGCCTGGGTGGATGGGGGAGGGTGCGGCGAGGGGCGAGGGAGGGAGGGAGGGAGGGAGGGAGGGAGAGGGTCAGTGTCGTCGTCGCAGGACCGCTCCCGAGCACGACCTCGAAACTCGACCGAGCGCCGGGAAACCGAGCAGCAAACTCACGGGTCCATCCCCTCCCTGAGCGCCTCCCTCATGCCCATCTCGAGTCCCTCGACGCCCTCGCCCTCGACGTCCGCCACCTGATCGAGCAGCGCATCGACGTCCACCCCGACCTCGTCCTCGGGGACGGGGCGGCGGAGCGCGAGGGGCACGACGGGCGGCACGACGCCCGCGCCGCGCAGGGTGCCGACGAGGCGGATCCCGCCGCGGTCGAGGGCGGTGAGTGGGGGCGGCGGCGCGGCGGCGGCGGTGTCGGTGTCGGTGTTGCGCGGCGCGGCGTGCGAGGGACGGCGGCGGCGGCGGCGGCGGCGGCGGGAGGCACGGCCGGAGGAGGAGGAGGACGACGACGAAGCGTCCGAGGACCCGCCATCGTCGTCGGCGTCGTCGTCGGCGTCAGCGTCGCTCGCGACCCAAGCCGCGTCGCGCGGATCCTCAGCGCCCTCGCCCTCGCCGACGCGCTCGCGCTCGTCGTCGTCCTCGCTCGGCGTGCGCGCGCCACGGCCCCTGCCCCCCTCGCGCCCCGCGCGCCTCGGCTGCGTCCTCCTCGGGCGCTTTGCCGGGCAGCGCTGCTGCTCGTCGTCGTCGTCGTCGCGCTCGAGCGTGACGGCGCGCGCCTTGCCCTTGTCGCGCGCGGTGAGGCGGCGCTCGGGCGCGGGTGTGGGTGCTGGGTCGCCGGCGTTGGCGTTGGTGTTGGCGGTGGCGGTGGCGGTGGCGGTGGTGGTGGCGCGAGCGAGACCAAAGGGCGCGGGCGGGTGGTTGTACGGGATGAACGAGAGGCGAGGGCGGGAGGAGGTGGAGGAGGACGACGAGGCTGTGCAGGGCGAGGAGGAGGGGGTCAGTCGGCGCTGCGTGGGCTCGAGTGGAGGGGCCAGGAGGGTGCGCACCGTGGTTGCTGCCCTGCATCGAGTGACCTCAGAAGAGCTGCACAGCCGAGGAGGGAGAGGGACGAGGTGGTCGAGGAGATGAGGATGGCGAGGGGGCAGGGGTTGCTCGTGTGACGGGTTGGGGGGCTGCTGCTTGTAGACGTGCTAGTAGGGGCTAGACTGGCAGCTGGTCGCAGTTGCTCGAGGGGCGCAAGAGTGAGAGCTGCTCCACCTCCCTCTCCCTCCTCCTCCTCTCTCCTCTTGTCCCTCGTCCTCCTCGCCCGGCAACCTCGCCCAGAGTCCGCCCCCCGCCATGCCTCCCCCGCACGCCCTGCTCAGCTCGCCGCTGCACCGCATCCCGACTCTGTGGTCCCTCGTGCGCCCGCTCCTCCGCGCAGCCCGCACCGCCCCGCTCCCTCCGCCTCACCGCGACGCCCTCGCCAACCACGTCCGCGCCCACTTTCGCCTCCACCGCAACCTCGGCAACGTCGAACGCGTCAGGCGCAAGCTCGTCGACGCACAACAGGTGCGCCCCCTCCCCTCCTCGACCT